AGGAGACACTTACTGAAGAAGTAGAAAAACTTGTAGAAATAGGTACGAACTTGCACATCACTCTATTTCTGCACTGATACTTTCTTTTCACCACAGCATGTGGCACAGTTTTAAGTCAGGTTGGTTGTAACCATGACGAATTGTGAAAAAAAAGAAGTGCACTTTTTTTGTACTGAATGTGCACTTGCAGTGTCTTTAATATCTTAAAAGTATATTTAAAAAAAAACTGTACAGATAATATAATATGATATAATATGAGATAATATAATATAATAATATTATATTACTTGCAGATAATATAATTTGAATGAAATAAAAGGCCACTTAAATGAACTTAAAGAGAGGCACTTTCATGACTTTCTTAACACTTAAGTACACTTCGAAAAAGTGCCCTTTGTAACATAAAATGAAATGTTTTAATTTAAAGTACATTTTATATCATGTTTGAATACGCTTTGTTGTGCTTTAAAAAAGTGTGCTTATTAATGTGTTGACTAAGATACAAAAGCACAAACAGAACTATAGTGTTATCCCATGTTACATTTAAAGTTTACTGCATTTTAAATGTATTATATTGCAACTTAATAATACAAATATATTTATAAATGCATGACACAAATTTTAATAGAAATGACAACCCTTCATATACTACAATCAACCATCTTAATAAAAAGGCAGAAAAAATTGAACTGAAATTGAATTAATTATAAAAAAAATATGATTATTTTATTGATTAATCAATTGATTTTTGTCGTCATAAACAGAGCTGAACAGGGTTCAGAAGTACTCAGGTAATGTTTTCTTGTATGTTTGATCTGTCATACATCACTAGTCCAGTCAAGTGTGTTTATCTCATCCTGGTCTGTTTGGTTTTTCGCTCACGTGTCTGCTGTATGTTCCCTATGAAGTGGACATCACCTTTGACCCGGACACGGCGAACCCCTGGCTGCAGCTGTCCGAGGACGGCCGTCAGATGCGTCACCTGGGCGCGTGGCAGGACCTGGCTGACACACCTGAGCGCTTCGATACAGTGGTGATCACTCTCAGCCGCGAGGGACTGTCCTCGGGACGCCATTACTGGGAGGTCCAGGTGGGCGAGAAGGACGACTGGTATATCGGTGTGGCCCGGGCGTCCGTCAACAGAAAAGGCCGGATTTCGGTAAGCACGGCTCAAGGCTACTGGGCTCTAGCCATGAAGAAAGGCCAGGAATATCGCGTTTCTTCCTCTCCACCCCTCCTGCTCTCCATCGAGCCCAAGCTGAAGAGAGTGGGCGTCTATGTGGACTACGAAGAAGGACAGGTGTCGTTCTACGACGTACAAAACAAAAGTCACATCTACACCTTTATGGACTCGTTTAAAGAGAAACTCTTCCCATTTTTCTACCTCTACTGCTGCGACAAGGCCTCGGACACCATGATGATCTGTCCTGTGCAGGAGACGTCTCATACTAAACAGTGCTGAACCGTGACTCTACAGTACAGTACTGTTTCTATACCGTACTATGTGCGCTTGAGAACTGCTTTCTTTGGCTTTTTTCCTAATTATTAAATGGGAGCACAAAAGCAGTCTTAAGTCGCTGGGGTATATTTGTAGCAATAGCCAACAATACATTGTATGAGTCAAAATGATCGATTTTTCTTTTATGCCAAAAATCATTAGGATATTAAGTAAAGATCATGTTCCATGAAGATATTTTGTAAATTTCCTACCGTAAATATATCAAAACTTAATTTTTGATTAGTAATATGCATTGCTAAGAACTTCATTTGGACAACTTTAAAGATGATTTTCTCAATATTTTGATTTTTTTGCACCCTCAGATTCCAGATTTTCAAATAGTTGTATCTCTGTCAAATATTCAGCTTTCAGATGATGTATTAAATCTCAATTTCAAAAAAATGACCCCTATGAGTGGTTTTGTGGTCCTGGGACACATATGGATATTTCTACAAATAGTCAGTTTTTATTGCATGACCACACGAGAGGAATTTTGACAAGCAACCAAAGCATACAAAACTGAAAATTGAAATACGCATGAAAAATAATGTGTAGTGAAATACAATTGAAATATACAAGTTAATCACTGCAAGTATATAAGTCCACTTTTTATATAATTGAAAATTAAAATAAACTTGTATATGAGCACATGTGTATAGTGATATTTCTACAAAAAAATATAATCTGTTGCATTGCATTGCCATGTGAGCAATTATGACAAGCAAACAAAGCATACAAAACAAATGAATTAGTAGAATCCATGTTTGCACATTTGTACTTGTTTGTGAATAACTGAAAATAAAGATGTAAATCAGTGCAAGCATGTGTTTATTTTCCGTTTCCACAAATCAAGCTATTAAACTACCAATGCAAGCGTCACCATCAGTTGTGTTGGTGTGTTCCTGGAAAATGGTGTACAATATCAAATAAGTATAACTTTTGGATGACCTTTTGGGAAAACTGGTCAAATTTCAAAGAAGATCAGAATGAAAGGTGAATCATGTGCTTAAAAAATATTCAATGCAATTCAAAATAACGGATGGTCAGCATGGATGACCTTAGACACTGTACTCCATGTGTCAGAAAATAAGTAAATAGATAAATATTTGAGTGCATAGTCAAGATTTTAGGTCAAGGAGTGTTTTCCCAAAACTGCTTGCTAAACCTTAAAGAACTGACTCTTACACTTGACACTTGCCATCTTTAGTTTCAAGACACCAAATATTGAAACAAAATACAACATTATCATCAGACTTAGCTCATGTGTTTATATTTTTTATATGTTTTCACTACTGTTTTCATACTACTGTGTTTGATATTTTGACAAGTAGATGGTGCTGTCATCAAACTTATCAAGTTGTTGCTGTGATTCAGACTCATTTCTTGCTTGGCCTTGACACCTGCAACATCATTTTGTTTTTGTTTTTTCACTAAAAACACAATGTTTCAGAAATACTTGACCATTATCCTTGAACACAAGCAGTAATTATTTTGCATTCACTACGTGAAATACAATGTGAATGGAAATGAAAATGCAAGTGACCTTTTGCACTGATAAAAGGGAATCGTCTCAGGTTACTTATGTAACCATGGTTCCCTGAGTAGGGAACGAGACACTGCGTCCTCTCGGGGTCGCTATATATCATAGTCGCACCGGTAGTGACGTCATGGCTGTCGCCGGCCAACGAGTTGGTGTTTTTTCAATGTATGCTTGAGACACGGGTCACGACGAGGCGTTCCCCCATAGCGACCCCTAGAGGACGCAGTTCGAAGTTCCCATGAAAGGGAACTATGCATGAGGCTTATACTTACAGGTAATTTGCATTGTAATGCATGTTTCGCAACACAACATACTGCCAGCACCTGTATTTAACACTGTTAAAGGGAATAATCCTTTAGGCATGTATTTGTCACCACAGCAGGGTTAACAGCTCAACACAATTCAGTTGAAGAGCAAATGAAAGCTGTCTATAATAAATAAAAAAAAGGTACTCAATGAGGTTATTACAAAAGCAGATGAATATTTTTTTTGTTGCCAGAAGTGGATATATTATTAAGTTACTTCTCAGAGAATTTGAATTAACGAGTCATTTGTTTGGCAGAAACGATCAACAGTCTTAGTTCATCATAGATTGAACAGTTTAATTTTACTGGCTTTGAAAATAAAGCTAAAAGCCATTTTGATCATTTGCATTTATGGTGTTTCAAATTCCAATGGCATAATTGACAACATTTGAGCAGTTTATAGTGTTATATTTATTAATTCTGTGCGATGTGATTTTAGTAATAGTTTATCATTACGGTTAGGGTGACAGACGGGGTTAAAATTATGTTTCTTTGATAACGCTGTTGTTCCAGGATCAACAAAACACATTGTTCTGTGAACTTTCAACTGAACTGCCAAAGTGAATGTGATATTTTTATCATGATGTTGTAAAATCTCACCTGACCTGCCCCTGACGCAAGTTCTACCCAGAATCCATCATTGCTGCGGCTGCCACAAAATAACTCTGTGAGGAGTGTCACGGCCTGGCTGACTCATCGTTTCTCAGAGTAGTTTGTGTCTTGAAGTCTTTAGAAACACTCAAATGCTGACATTTCAAATGCTTTCATCTTATGAACAATTGTCTTTTTTTTCTTTTTTTCTCAAAACCTGACAGGTTTTTTCTCCCCATTCAGATATTAAACTCAAGCCCGCATTTCAGAAAGTGACTAATGCAAGTAGCTAGAAATAAAAGTAATTATTTTTTCCTGAGAATGCTCAGCACTCTTCTCCAGTCTCTGGAACAAGCAAACACTTCCCTGTGGATTTGCATGTGTAATTCACTCGTCTGTCCTGCTCTCAGGCCGTGATTTACATGGACAACAATACAAACACTGTGAAAGATGAGATGAGAGTTGTTCACAAGTGTGTGGACAGACAAGCTCTCCCTCTTATACCTACAATTATTGTTAATCATCAAAAATGAGGAGTAATGCATTATTACATTTTAAATTATATTACAATAGAATACAGATTTTAAACTGTAATACTATTTCACAATATTACTGTTTTTTCTGTGTCTCATCAAATAAAACCAGCCTGTTTTCCTGTTTAGTATTTTTCTTTAATAAATGCATAAATGCTGCATTTCACATGCACATACAATTGCCTAGTTTAATAGTTTTATTGCCGTTTCACAGTTACATCTGTTAACATTCATATGAATATTCACATGGATGGATGGATGGATGGATGGATGGATGGATGGATGGATGGATGGATGGATGGATGGATGGATGGATGATTGATTGATTGATTGATTGATTGATAGATAGATAGATAGATAGATAGATAGATAGATGATTGATTGATTGATTGATTGATTGATTGATAGATAGATAGATAGATAGACAGACAGATAGATAGATAGATAGACAGATGGATAGATGACATAGATAGATAGATAGATAGATAGATAGATAGATAGATAGATAGATAGATAGTGCATTGAACATGTTTAATAAAATAGAAACATCATATTATAAAGAATAAAAAAAGACCATTTAAAAATTACTTTTAGTAGAAATTTAGAGAAATTACAGTTAGAAGGACAGCACCCTGTTCATTAAAATATTCTTTAAAATATATACAAATTCTAAATGCTATACAAATATCTCTATATGTACAATGCATCATTTTCACCTCAAAATGTGTTTGCTTTTTAATCCACTCACAGTACAACAGAGAATATCACACTAAAGAAGAAAACAAAGACACAAACAAAAGGGAATCATGTCAATCTCACTGAATACTAATATACTCACACCTCATAGTTTCAGACTCATAAAATCAGCCCTTACTTTGACACAGAGATGTCGGTTTGATTGACAGGACAAATGACCAACGGGCTTGAGTTGGTTCCGTCTTTGTTGGGATGAGGATTGAAGTACGGACGGATGGCTCCGTTAAAGCTGCACCGAGTGAATGAGTAAATATGTGACAGAGCCTCCATATCATAGAAGGACACCAGAGCCTCCTCACAGTCCACAAACACTCCCAGCTTCTGAGGTTTGGTCTCCAGATGGAGCTGGACTGGAGGGTCTGTAAAAGCTCCGTACATGTTTTGAGCGCAGAGCATGATGGCCCAGTAACCCTCGCTGGGTTTGTAGGACACTTTGCCCTTCCGGTTCGCTCCGTCCCTCATCACCCCCAGCTCCCAGCCCACCTTATTCCCCACCTCCACCACCCAGAAAGCTCTTCCCGAAGTGATGCAAGGATTTCCCAGGACTCCTCCGACCAGGTCGAACTTTTGCGGGCCGCCCGGGATGTCGTGACTCGCTCCGCTGTCGCGCACCTTTTTACCGTCTGCAGACACCTCTAAGTGCGGATGCGCCGTTTCTGCGTCCAGAGTTACGTTTACTGCGCAAAGACCAGATTCTCAGTTACTGGACGTTTGAGAGATTCGTAAACATGCAACATGCTCAGAAATGTTTCCAACACGCACCTGAGAAGCTGTGGATCCTTCTAATTTCTGAAATAAGAAAAGATAAAATGGTAAACAAATTTACAAATCAAATTTACAAGCATGAGACTGTCTGAACCATAATAAAGATTTTGATGGCCCAGTAACCCTCGCTGGGTTTGTAGGACACTTTGCCCTTCCGGTTCGCTCCGTCCCTCATCACCCCCAGCTCCCAGCCCACCTTATTCCCCACCTCCACCACCCAGAAAGCTCTTCCCGAAGTGATGCAAGGATTTCCCAGGACTCCTCCGACCAGGTCGAACTTTTGCGGGCCGCCCGGGATGTCGTGACTCGCTCCGCTGTCGCGCACCTTTTTACCGTCTGCAGACACCTCTAAGTGCGGATGCGCCGTTTCTGCGTCCAGAGTCACGTTTACTGTGCAAAGACAGATTCTCAGTTACTGCATGTTTGAGATTCTGCAAAGAATGAGAGATTTGTAAACATGCAACGTGAAGAAGTAGCTCAGAAATTGTTCCTGCACATACCTGAGAAGCTGTGAATCCTTCTAATGTCTGTAAAAAGAAAAGATATAGTGAACAAATTTACAAGTGTGAGACTGTCTGGACCATAATACATATCTTTGATATACACCTTGATACTGTTCAATAACCATATGCATAAACAATGATACTTCATTGATACTGTAAAGTAGACTGCATTAAATTATACAACAGATACCATCATATCCACAACTCCTCTTCAAAACAAGAAGATCTCAGGTGTCATTCATGCCTGCGCACCTAATTAAGTGCACTTAATTGTTTTGAATGTGAACTTTAAACCTCAAAAGTATATTTTAAAACTGTACTTGCAGATACTATAATATTAATAGAATAAAAGGCTACTTAAGTGACTTAAAAAGAGACACTTTCATGACTTTCTTAACACTTAAGTACACTTTTAAAAAGTGCCCTTTGTAATATGAAATTAAATGTTTTAATTTAAAGTACATTTTATATCATGTTTTAATACTCTTTTGTTGTGCTGCGCTTATTAATGTGTTGACTAAGATACAAAAGCATAATATAATATCAATAGAATAAAAGGCTACTTAAGCGACTTAAAAAGAGACATTTTCATGACCGTTTTTTAACACTCAAGTACACTTTTAAAAAGTGACCTTTGTAATAATGTCACATTAAAAGTTTTACTTTAAAATACCTTTTGAAGTTTCAAAAGAGATTGCATTGAAGTATATTTTAGCTTATCATAAATGCTTCAGTACATTCAGCAGTACTTTAACCATATTTCAAAGACAATAAATTTAATAATGAAATTACATATGAAGATGTACTTAAGTCCTACTTAAGTGGGTCAAAAACACTATAAGTTCAACAAAATTGCATTTAATTTAAATTTAAACTGCAATACATGTTCATTTAATTGCATTTAACATGCAGTTATGTGTCTGAAAACATTAAATTAAGTTCACACTTAAGTATGTTCTTTTAAAGTATATTATTTCCATAATAAGTACTCTCTCTAAAAGTATGCTGAAGTGTAGCCTACTTCTTTTTCATAAGGGCAAACAAACAGTGTAGTATGAGTTCAAATAAGCCTATCCAAATGCTATTTATGAGCAATTGCATCACAACTCTCAGATATAATCACTCAATAAAAAATAAATGATGCATTTAAAAATGTTAAATAAAATGCAAACAGTAAATTACAAAGAAATAGCAAGTAACACATTTAATTAAACATGACATATTGACAGTAGAACGACTAAAATAGTATATTCTTGTAAAACATATTTGGACAGCCCAAACTCAAAGGAGACATATTTGCATAATCTTTGCGTATTCTTCTTCAGAAGCACCTGCTGATGTATAGATCTCTCAAAGACTAAAACGTCCTTTGTTCCCTACCCTGCTATGATTACATAAATGTGTCATGTGTCATGCAATGCTTATTCTTGGTCTGGCAAACTCTAATCGGATTGGCTTGCTTTACATCATTGCTTTGAGTCTGGGTCAGTGTTCTTATTAAATCTAAATCTGAAGCAACAATTATTTTTGATAAATTAGTAATAAAAATAAAATAAAACATAATATGAAAAATATAATCATAATCATAATTGTATATATAATAGCCTCTTGTGTTTATCTTGTGTTGTTTGCTGAACGAGACGGGGTTTGCATTGCAAATCAGCTCTTTGTCATTTCCTTGTCTTTTGTGGAAGACTAGATTTTTGTTATCAATATATTAATATAATATAATATTTTTTGTTATTTGTTATATTCATCCATTTGCCAAACTGCTTGTCTAATTTAGTGTCTCCATGCATGTCTTTGGATTGTGGAGGAAACCCAACTGAAAAAACAGAACGGCCTCCTGGTTCAAAATAATATGGGAAATAATATGCATTGTGCAACATTGAGGAAGCTTGACCTTATTTGATTTATAAAGTGTTGTCAATGAACCTTTGTTGAAGCTTGTTATAATTTTAATACTTATTTGCATATGTTGTACTGTACATACCTGGTATTTTGCAGCTGATTCCTTAAGCTTCTCAAGTTTGTCTTCCCTCTGATTGATCATCCTTTCCATCACCTCAATAGTGTTTTGCTGCACGGCCTGTACAAACACACACCAAGCTTTCTGAGTACTTTGAATTCATACAAAATCAATCAATTCATATAAAATCTGTGTCAGAAATTAACCAGGCAGAAACTGCATCAAAAAAAAAAAACGGACCAGGAAATTACAGAAGTTTACAGAAGAGTGTGATATTGAGCGTTTACTCAAATTCAACTATGAAACATGGTCCCAATTTTCTTTATCTGAAATGTTTACGTAAATTAAATCAGGGAAATGGTGTTCCTGTAGCTTAGTTAGCATGAGCATGTGTGGGTTAAAGGGAATGCATGAACTGATGGAATTTATACCTTGAATCAGTGTTATTATAGTATTATGTATATAGCATTATAGTTTTTGTCAAAAAAAAGTACAATTACATTGTTTTCATTGTCTGATGAGCTGCATTGAATGTGGTGAAGATTGGACAAACACTCTAGAAGGAGTATGTTTTTTTTTTTTTAACTGATGCAAAATGGCAAATATGTCTTTGTTCTTTTTGGGAAACATCAGCTCAGGTGAGAAGATTGATCTGTGTTGTTTCCCGACAGCTGTATGTTCTCACCTGTCTCCTCTCTCTCTCTGACTCCACAGGTACCACGTCTCCACCCGTCTTCACACACAAGGCGCAGATGCAGCACTCGTCACGTCTGCAGTAGAGCTCCAGAGGTCTGCCGTGCATATTGCACGCTCTCTGATCCAGCTTCTCCACAGGATTCACCAGCTTATGGCCCTTGAATCTTGCCATAGACTGGTGAGGCTTCAGGTGCTCATCGCAGAAGGAGAGCAGACAGATCAGGCAGGACTTCACGGCTTTAAACGTGAGGTGTTCGTCACAGACGTCGCACGGAATCGCGTCTCTTTCTCCACAGAAGAGGTCTAGGTTGGGTAGCTGAGTCTGGCGAAACTCTCGCAGCAGGGCTTCGATGGCTTCGTTGATGGAGGGTTTGGTGGTCACAGGCTCCTGGCAGAGAGGGCACTGCAGCTCGGTTATGCTGATGTGCTTGTCCAGACAGCCCTTGCAGAAGGTGTGTCCACAGGTGGTTGAGACCGGATCTGTCAGCAGGTTCTTGCAGATGGGGCAGTGAAGGTGGCGAGAGATGACCACGGGTGTAGTCATTGTGGTTGTGTCGGATAGTAAACTTGAGGGTTGACCGAAGAGCTGCAACAACATCAACAACAATAACTACAGCTGAAACAGCAATTTTGGGCCCAAGCACAAAAGAGGCAAAGTGAGGAGCTAAACAAGTGTGGTAGAGAGCATCAGAACATAGTCGTGATTTGATATATCAAGTTTCAGTGCAACAGGCAGAAGTATTACCAAGATATTGCATAAAACACTGTGCAGCTCCACTATAGCAAATTTGACAATGAGTTACATTAAAACAGTTTGAGTTATTAAAAAGTTTTTTATATTGTTCCCACGTTGAGAGAAATCAAGAGTAAATTGTATGCGCTGTGTGAACATGATTCTTCTTGTAGTTTTAGATTAAATGTCAACTCATCGTACTTGCACAAAAACTGATTCAGTATTCCTCAAAATGAATAAAAACAGTGAAAAGCAAACTCAGAATATGACGCAAACCTGAAATAATTAAATATGTTAAATAGCACAGATATCCTACAGTATATGTATTTAATCCCATTTTATTACACGGCTCTGTGGAATACTTGCTTCTGATTGGTCAATCGCGCCATCCAGCGGTATGTTATTACCAGATAACAACCACCAAATTGAATAACACACCGCTCATCCGGGTACTACGAGTTATCTTGACCGGTACTACTTATATGCTTAACGAGTCACTCCGCTATCGTTGACTGTCTGGCGCCATCTTGTGACTGAAAACACTTAACCACCGCGTGTTACAATGGAAGACTTCAGCATTAATTTCAACATATATGGTATAAACAAATCTTTTTAGCCGTGTAATAAGTGGGATAATGTACATCCAGCCGGTTGTTATCTCAGAATAAACCCCTTCAGGCTGATGTACATTATCCCTTACTTATTAACCAATGTCTTTGCTGCTGACCTATGATGATCCAATTCAACAATACTAATAAGTAAAAATTACTTTAAATAAACATAGATTTTTATTTATTTGTATTTATTTATTTATTTATTTTTATTTTTATTTTTTTTGCTGAAGAGTGATGAACTTTCTTCTCTTGCATCATAATCTTCATGCAATCCAGAGTGGCAACACAGCAGAAAGGTTACATCTCTTTCAGCCTGAGGGAATTAAAGGGCTTTTACCTTTTCCAAAAATAAAACTTTTTATATTAAAAACAAACAAACAAGCCCAGCCCAGATGAGTAAAATTAATGCAAAAGTAATGTAACATTACCTCTGATAAAAGGTAACTAAGTAAGACAATAAGTAATTTTTTAGGGCGTAATGCAGCATTGTAATGCATTACATTTAAAAGTAACTTTCCCCAACACTGTGAGTCAGAATGAAAAGAGTCCACCCCCAAATCTCTATGATATTCTGGTCTCTAGATCCGGTCTTTCAAGTGGTTTATGTGGGTTATTGTCTGCCAGGTAGGGTACAAAATATTTATGTGCACTTGTTTAAAAATAAAAAAAAGAATGCGGAGGTTTCTTTTAGAGCTTCTTGTTCTGTACATGGCATCTTAACCGCAGCACCCATGGCATGAGAGGCTGAAAAAACAGCAAGACGAATCATAAAGATGCATCTCAAAGACATTTGAAGCATATAAACACAACCAGTACTTAACCCGTAAAACTCTGGTGCCATTAATGCTGCATTTTGACAATCAAATGAAACACAATATCATGTCAGAATAAGATTTAATTTTCATGTTGAGAAATTGGAGTGTTGTTTTCTCTGCCCAGGAATAACGTGAGAGATGAGTAATGGGTGTTTCTTTATTTTCTGGCTTTAAATCAAATTGAAAAGAACCTAACTTTTACGATTTTGCAATATTCACATCTTTATTGCCCTCATATTATCCAACAATCTTATCTTGCAATTTGCTTGTGTGATGGATTAGAAAAGTACAAACATGATTGGACAAATCATTCCCAGGTAGCATAATGAAGTTCGATACTTTTTAATAAAAACAATAGAATGAGCAATAGTAAGAGTGACCCTTGCCTTTGCAAACACCACTAATGATCAGGAGAGATAAGCAGAAATCAGACTTACCTTGACGGAGGTGTCAGTTCTGGATTCTTCACTTCAGTCTTTAAATTCTGCTTCTCTCTCCTCCTATTTATGTACAGTAGAGTTTCGTTTTCTCCACAATCTCTCTCTATTGTCATTAACTTTCATTCCCGGAAAAAGAAACCCCACCCAGAAGTTACACCACTCCAGTTTTACATAGATTTGCATCATTTGCTCAGGGTGTGTGCATCACAGATTTTGACACACAAGCATTTAGTAAATCAAAAGCACCACATAACCAGCATCCATCAATGACATTCTCTCTCTCTTTACATCCTTTGCCTATTACTGTATTTAATTGTCAGTTGACTAAGCATGTGTCTCATAGACACAACTTGTATTTTGCTTTTTTTGTTATAGTATAACCTGACACTCCAAGTCCTCATCCACTTGTATTAAATGGAAAAGAGCAGCCTGGATATTCTTCAGCATTTCTCCTTTTGCTTTGAACAGAATCATAGAGGTTTGGAACAACACAAGTGCTACAGCTGTGGTGTCAAACTAGACATGTTGCAAGCTTTTTTGCAATCCACGTAAAAGTCTCTATGATATTCTGGTCTCTAGATCCGGTCTTTCAAGTGGTTTATGTGGGTTATTGTCTGCCAGGTAGGGTACAAAATATTTATGTGCACTTGTTTAAAAATAAAAAAAAGAATGCGGAGGTTTCTTTTAGAGCTTCTTGTTCTGTACATGGCATCTTAACCGCAGCACCCATGGCATGAGAGGCTGAAAAAACAGCAAGACGAATCATAAAGATGCGTCTCAAAGACATTTGAAGCATATAAACACAACCAGTACTTAACCTGTAAAACTCTGGTGCCATTAATGCTGCATTTTGACAATCAAATGAAACACAATATCATGTCAGAATAAAATTTAATTTTCATGTTGAGAAATTGGAGTGTTGTTTTCTCTGCCCAGGAATAACGTGAGAGATGAGTAATGGGTGTTTCTTTATTTTCTGGCTTTAAATCAAATTGAAAAGAACCTAACTTTTACGATTTTGCAATATTCACATCTTTATTGCCCTCATATTATCCAACAATCTTATCTTGCAATTTGCTTGTGTGATGGATTAGAAAAGTACAAACATGATTGGACAAATCATTCCCAGGTAGCATAATGAAGTTCGATACTTTTTAATAAAAACAATAGAATGAGCAATAGTAAGAGTGACCCTTGCCTTTGCAAACACCACTAATGATCAGGAGAGATAAGCAGAAATCAGACTTACCTTGACGGAGGTGTCAGTTCTGGATTCTTCACTTCAGTCTTTAAATTCTGCTTCTCTCTCCTCCTATTTATGTACAGTAGAGTTTCGTTTTCTCCACAATCTCTCTCTATTGTCATTAACTTTCATTCCCGGAAAAAGAAACCCCACCCAGAAGTTACACCACTCCAGTTTTACATAGATTTGCATCATTTGCTCAGGGTGTGTGCATCACAGATTTTGACACACAAGCATTTAGTAAATCAAAAGCACCACATAACCAGCATCTATCAATGACATTCTCTCTCTCTTTACATCCTTTGCCTATTACTGTATTTAATTGTCAGTTGACTAAGCATTTGTCTCAAAGACACAACTTGTATTTTGCTTTTTTTGTTATAGTATAACCTGACACTCCAAGTCCTCATCCACTTTTATTAAATGGAAAAGAGCAGCCTGGATATTCTTCAGCATTTCTCCTTTTGCTTTGAACTGAATCATGGAACATGGAAGAGGTTTGGAACAACACAAGTGCTACAGCTGTGGTGTCAAACTAGACATGTTGCAAGCTTTTTTGCAATCCACGTAAAAGCAGCCTTCCAGAACATTGTGCCTTAACAATTTAAATGCATGAAGTGAAAGTGAAACCAAATGAGTATTTCACCATGGAAAGAAAGCTTCTGGGGAAATAAAACTAATATGCAGAATGTGAAAAAATCACCTTTAAAGTTGTCCAAATGAAGTCCTTAGCACTGCATATTACTAATCAAAAATTAAGTTTTAACATATTTATAGTAGGGAATTTACAAAATATCTTCATGGAACATGATCTTTACTTAATATCCTAATGATTTTTGGCATAATCATTTTGACCCATACAATGCATTGTTGGCTATTGCTACAAATATACCTGTGCTACTTATGACTGCTTTTGTGCTCCAGGGTCACATTTGTCAAAGTAATGCTGCTGAATTTTTTTTAAATGACACTAATAAGTAAAACTGAAAAGGCAATATCTAATAGCACTGATGATGTAAGACTTTACAAATAGTAATTTAGAAATGTATCTAAGGGGTCTAAGCAAGCTTTCTTGAAGCAGCTGGACAACTGGACGCTTAATATGAGCCAGAACAATGCCTTCAGTCATACTATACTGGTCATAATAGATAGGACAACATAGGCATACTCATATCCATCACCTTGTTGAAGAGGTGTTGAGCGAGCCCATCTTTCGGTGAAAGAGGAAGTTTTCTGAGATTAGATCTAGCTGCCTTGATCGTTCTTTTTATTAAATGCTTTTACAAAGCAAGATGAAATGCTTGCGAAAGAGAAAAGAAACAAATGCAAGTGAATCAACAAATGTATTTAATTGGTCATAATAGATAGGACAACATAGGCATACTCATATCCATCACCTTGTTGAAGAGGTGTTGAGCGAGCCCATCTTTCGGGGAAGAGGCAGTTTTCTGAGATTAGATCTAGCTGCCTTGATCGTTCTTTTTATTAAATGCTTTTACAAAGCAAGACGAAATGCTTGCGAAAGAGAAAAGAAACAAATGCAAGTGAATCAACAAATGTATTTAATTTAGATAGATAGACAGATAGATAGATAGATAGATATACAGATATATAGATAGATAGATAGACAGACAGACAGACAGACAGACAGACAGACAGATAGATAGATAGATAGATAGGTTCACAAATAGGTTCAAATAAAACACAAGCTAATTATGAAAGCTTTATATTTTTATATGTACATATATAAATGTACATTTAAAGTTGAATATTAATTGTCAAAATATAATTGCTTATGTGTAACGCATTAAGTATATAATATAAATAAAAACATAATTCAAATAACTATAATAGTTAATTAGCAGACAGATATGTCACTTTCTTTAAAGCTGATTAGTTCAGGTTTGATTTGTGATCTCTTACCAAGAATAAAACCTGCGTTTGAGCAAACCAAACTGAACTTATTTAGCCACCGCAGGTGTAGACTCAATATGTTTAAGTATACATTTGTTTCAATTGACCACAAAAATATATGTGTTACAGTATTTACAGTAGCCTTCATCTACTGTTGAGGCCCTGAGAGAGATTATCAACCACACACACACACACACACAAACACATCAAATTATGTGGGAAAATCATCAACGTTTAAGATACACATAGCTCAAGAAAAAAATAAATAAATAAATTACAGTAGCCTTCATCTACTGTTGAGGCCCTGAGAGAGATTATCAACCACACACACACACACACACAAACACATCAAATTATGTGGGAAAATCATCAACGTTTAAGATACACATAGCTCAAGAAAAAAAAATAAAAATAAATAAATAAATAAATAAAAGCTGTCCTTGAATAAGCCTGAATTCTGCTCTGTTAGGTTAGCCTCTGTCTCCATCTGGTGGTAATAAATACGGTGATCAAATGGAAAAAGAACTCCAAACTGCCCTGAAATTGTGCACCCAAATCCTGATTTTATGATCTGGCTGTCCACACTTTAGTCACATTGTCTATCTTCCACGCACGTATCATATAATTTGTAAATGTCAGCATGATACCTATGACAACTGAAAGTAGCTATCAGTGCGGAAGAGAGGATGGAAAATTGGAAATTGTACCTTTGCACATGTCCAGTCCAGTGATTGGGAAACAAAGGACCTGAGAAACAAAATAAACAAGTGACATGTCTGTTGGATCTCAAGCCACATAGAGACGTGTGTTTGTAAAATCAGATGACATGCCTTTTTGCTTACTGACTACAAACACAACATACCTGATCAGCAGATATTTCCAAGAATAGCCTTTTTTTTGCAGACTGTATGAAAAAAAGCAATTTTTGAATGATGTCCCACAGGAGTTTTCAAATATATATTAGTCAGAGGGAATCGAATTGTAGATAAACGTGAACATTAGACGAGGAACATTGGTGTTTGCTTTATTAGCTGCAATGGAACTTGACTAGTAGCGTTTTTTAGTTACATGTATATTCAGTTTGGGTTTTTTTTCGGTGGAAAAACTTGTATTTTAAATTGTATTTTGTAAAAACCATTGAGCTTGTCCTGAAGCTCTTTTATTGTTAATTCCTTCACTTGGCCTTTGTCGTCCGGTCCGTACTAGCCCTTCCCTGTGTACTGATTGTTCTTTAGACAGCAGGTGGCTGTCCAGTAGTACTTTGACACTGTGACTCTCGCCTTTTGTGTCAGGAACTACACCAGTCACCACATAAGCTGCCTCATCACAGGATTTGAGGTCTTCTGTTACAGCTTCCTCATGTCTCAGCCAAACATTCTGATTGAAATCTGATTTCTGCGGAGCTGCGTTGGTCAGTGTGGATGTGGCCAGCATTGACAGATGATTGCTGGTGTGGAGCACGGGATAGAGGTGACCTTTGTTATAGCCAGAGTTATACAGAAGAAAGTGACAGAAGAAAAACAAGCCGTCTCATGGTGAATCTCTGAAATCCTGAGTCTGCAGAAAGGAGGTTAACGCTCTCCTTTACATAGTCGAAGGGGAGGGATGGGAATCACATGATTGTAAGTTACCTCTGTGATTATATTCTGTGCAAATTTGTCATAAGTTTGAAAATATGAAAATTTCACATTCATATTTTCCTGAAATTCAAATATTTAAGAAACACAACCCAAACCTTTGCTTGCACACACACGCTCTCACATTCACACACACTTGCACTTGCACTTGCACACGCACACACTCTCACACACACACACACACATACACTCACACACACACACTCACACTCCCACACACACACACACACACACACACACTCTCCCTCACACACACACACTCACACACACACACACACACACACACTCACACTCACACTCTCACACACACACACACACACACACACACACTCACTCACACACATCTTGAGTAAACATCTTGAGTAAACACACACACGCAAATATTACACAGAGATGAAGATTCTTGATAGATGGCATTTTTTCCCCCATCACTTCTTGTTGCATCTGTGTTGGGACAAAAAACAAGGATTTATTTATTTATTTATTTATTTTTACTTATATCTTTTATTTAAGACCTTCCAGTGAGCATCAGTTATGCTGCTCTAAAAGTCAATAAAAATATCAAAATAGTTGTTAGGCTTTGCTATTGTTTAACAAACACCACACATGTTCTCAGTAGACGCGTTTCATTGGCAGCGACCCGCAAATACGATGTTTATTTTCCTGATGTGGTGGAGTTAAACAACGAGACGAGACAAAATGTTTCTCCTCCAGACGGCAATGACAGGACAGCTCAGTTTGTGAGGATGTGAACACAGACAGACTGAAGAGTTATGTCTGAGATCATTTATTCATCATCATCATCGTCATTGTCGTCATCATCATCATAATCATCATCATCATCATCTTCGTCATTGTTGTCATCATCATCATCATCATCGTCATCATCATCGTCCTCATCTTCATCATCATCATGGTTGTAGTCAGTTTCGTCACCAGGGTTGATTCTTCCAGACATCACGTCTTCGATCCAGGTGTCGAGCTCGTCAGCGGTCGGCATGTTCTCTTCATCATCCATCTCCATCCACACACTGTCAGCCTGAGAATCACACACAAGACCAATCCCAGACAGAATAAGATTTCACAAAGTCATATGAATTATCCACCAAACTACCGTGAGATTGTGTTGGACAAACACACTTAGAATAATCACAAACATCAAAAACCTCCATCCAGCAGAAAAGAAGTTGTGCTTATGAAGTACATGATGATACTCTCAGACACGGGAGACTTGAGTTACATGACTAAGTGAAGAGAATGACTCGAGACTTGACTTGGACTTGAACTGCATGATTTGACAAGTGCTTCATAACAACTCTAATTAAATTATTATTAAATCAATCAACATTAGTTGATAAAATGCAAGCCCCCACTGATCAGTCTCATGACTTTTTTAAATATTTATAAAATATATTTAAACAATATTTCCAGAATATCAACATGATTGCAAATGTCTGTACTGATTTAATAAACAAAAAAAATTAATAAAGTGACATTTTAAACATAATATTGTACGTTTTTGCTCTATTTCTCCAACAAACGTAGTTCCAGACGAAGCAAAAAGTTTTGCATCTTGGAGCAATACATAGCGGTGTTACGTTACTGAACGAATCAGTTCAGAGATTCAGTGTCCCATTCACGATCACAGTCAATTGAATTGAATCACTGTTTTGAACAAATCACTTGAATGAATGAATCAGTGACTCACTCATTAAGACACTGATTTGCCAACAAGTATTCAATCTTAATGCTAAAGATAATTTGTTTTAGGAACTGTTCTTGGATCTTTGGGGAACCAGAAATCATTCTTCTATGACATTGCTGTGAAAACCCCCTGGAGTTGCACTTGTGTGATCACTGGCATTACAGATAAATGATGTGCTCACATCTTCTACGTCCACCACGCCGATCTGAGGAGATGAGAGGTCGATGCCGAAGGTCTTCTCCCAGTACGGCACCATCTGAGGGCACACAGAGGGGTCAAAGGTCAAACCTCGGTTCACATAGTGTAAGTGATGCATTGTGAGAAGTTGCATTTGTAAATGAGCTTTTGAAAAGTTAAGTTTTAAAAGAATGATGGAGGGAAATCTATTTAAATTAAAATAACCATCCACTAAAAAAAAAAAAAAAAAGAAAAAAAAAAATGTTGTGCCATGCATACTCATTAAACTCTAGTTGTCAACTATCTCCAGTAGAGCGCAGCAGAGTCAAACAGTCATGATCCTTATGTTGAAGCACATTCTGAGTATAATGTGTTGTATATGTAATATAATTTATTGTTTATGTCATTAAATTGATTTTAGGAATCATGCAAATATATATCCACTATATCAAAAACAGCATAGATAGCAAATGTAAAAATGACATTGACAGTCTATAAGGACACAATGTTAAAGGTGCATCGTTCAAAAACATGTTCTTGGAGAAATCACAACAATACAGTATTTTAGAGGTTTGTCATACCAGGGGGAAGTCGTCAGGATCGATCCAGATGATGCTTAAGTCTGGGTTCTCTGTGTTTTCTTGAGCCACTTCCTTCAGGATCTCCAGGAATTCATAGCCGTCTGGTAAAAGTCAACATTCAGTCATTTGGAGTCACGAACATGAAATCCCTCAAAGACTCTCAAACAGTGTTTACCAGGGTCAGACTCCTCGGCGAAGGCCACAATGTGCTGTCCATTAATATCATCTTCCTAAAATAGGCACAAATCATAGAGTTAGTAACAGTCATGACAACTGTTCGAAATCCCTTATAGCTTTAGCTTTGCATAATGGGTAGGGTTTGTTTGTACCCAGATCTCATACATGCTGTGGGGCTCCAGCTTTCTTAGAGTTGGTCTAAAATAAGAAAAAAACAGAACTGCAGATTTTATTCAGGCATCCTTCTGAGAGGTCTTTTGAGGAAACGTTGTGATTTTATATTGTATATTCATTTTCTCTTCAGCCGTTGGTTGAGCACTGATCAGAGTTCACCTGTCGTGCTCCTCGATGAAGCTGACGATGTCGTCCTCCATGTAGGGTTTGCCGGGGATGCTGACGGGTTTGTTCATGAAGGGCTCGTAGAAATCCACTTCATTCATCTTCAGGTTTAATTTCTTAGCGATCTGGAAACGTTCAGGCATAACGCAGACCAGACACAATGAATACAGAGATCATTAAAGGCTTCTAGTCATTTCAAAATATACAATAAACCTATTTGTTTTGTACCTAATTGTAAATTTTATGTGTAGAGAGTCGGATAGTCTTGTGGGCCCTCTGACACATAGCGTAAAACATTGATTATCAAGATAAGAGCTTATGACAGGTCTGCCTTTAAATACATAAGTTGTAGTTATGTTAAAGATAAATTCAAATCAAAATGAATTAGGTCTTTACTTGCTTTATAAGGCTATGTTTAACATCATTCAATAACCAGATACCCCTTTGTGAATGAATGAATGAATGAATGAATGCATGAATGAATGCATGAATGAATGAATTAATGAATGTGTGGAAGTACCTACCTTTTGCTCAAATGTGGCAAAGAACTTGATGAAGGGATGAAATTCTTCAGCTGCGTCATCGTACTCAATGAAGTCTAAGAAATAACAGCATTGGCATGATGGAAGCTGCTTGTTACAAGTATACGAGTAATCAGAATTGATTAAAGAAGTTCAGATGTAACGGCATACTAACGTGAAGATTTGGCGCTCTTGAAGTAGCCCATCAGTTTGATGTCCTCCTCGATGTGATGGAAGCCTTTGAGCTCTCTGTCATTACTGATGATCTCCACAGGCTCCTCGATCACCTGACAGAAGAACCAGTCAATCAATAATCAATGACCTTTAGATGCGTGATCGGTTATGATGATAAACACTCACGTCATAGAGGAACTCCAGCAGCGTGTCGGCTGCCAGCTCTCCATCGTACTCGATGATCTCGTCATCAGCAAAGATGTAGATGCTGTCCACCTCCAGCAGACCTGCCCAAAACAAGCGTCTGAACGTTTCAGAGGTGTTTGAATGGATTGGCAGATTAAAGACGGACGGGTTACTATATCAACATTTGCACAACATGAATAACCCAAGAAGGATTTTCCTGGAACAACACTTTTATCGGTAACACTTTATTTCGATAGTCCACTTTAGACATTCTGCTAACAGTAAGTAACTTTGCAACTACATGTCAACTAGCAGTCATTAGAGTATTAGTAGACTGTCTGCTTAATTTCTTCTAACACTGTATTTTGATGGATCTACAACATACAACATACTGACTATGAGAAAGTTTGCAAGTATATGTCAACTTATTCTACTAACCCTAAACCAACCCTAACAGTCTACTCTGAGAGTTGGTAGACATGTAGTTGTAAATTAATGAGAATTAATTGACATATAGTTGACATGTAGTTATAAAGTTACTTATAGTTAGTAGAATGTCTAAAGTGGACTATCAAAAATAAAGTGTAACCCTTTTATCAACCAATTATAGTCCTATGTCTACTCTTAAAATAAGAAGACAATGTTTTAATGATAATAATACAGATCAAGAACACGTCCTATTTATGCAAACTGCATAAAGCAATAGGTCACTCCACAATCATTTGCTTATTCACTTCAACATCTTAAATTTCAGTCTGTTCCTCAACAAAGATGCATCGTAAAAATATTTTTTGGACGCGATAAATAAAGACTATTGGAATATGTTTTTATTGTGTTTTATTGCTGTTTCTTTGTAATTAGTTTTGAAATGTACTAGCAATTTCTAAGTGAAAATCATTTCAAAGCAAATCCTAAACCATTTATTTTTCGTCAGTGTGTTGCAAGGGTTCAGAAAACTGCACAAGTTGTATGAATTACTGTTTTGTTAGTGGTAACACTTTACAATACGTTTTATTTTACACTTTACAATGAGTTAATGAATTAACTAACACTGAATTAACTAACACTTAATAAATACATTTGTTAAAGTATTTATTAATCTGTGTTAATGTTGGTTAATAAAAATACAGCTGTTCATAGCTAGTTCATGTCAGCTCAAGTCCATCAAATAATATTAACAGATGCAACTTTTCATTTAAATAGTGTATTAGTAAATGTTGTACAGTTACATTGGCCTTTTTATCCTTTTTAGAGCTGGTCACTGAATGCTTTCGTTATATAGAAAAGAGCAGCATGAATGTTCTAATAAATATCTCTTTTTTGTTCCATGGAAGAAAGAAAAGGATACAGGTTTGGAACAACTGAATAAATGAGCGAATAAATAATGACTGAGTTTTCGTCTTTGTGTGAATTATTGTAGCTAATTCATTATAAGTGGACTTTCTGCGTTCATCTTTTTTGTGCATTGTAATAATAAACAAAGATAATTGGTGTTTTACAAGGAAATACTATTTCAGTCTTTCTACTTTCACATTTCCTCATTTAATTCAATGTGTTGCTTGTCGTTGTTTGTGAATATTTATGATTTAAATTGCAGTTTCTATGTGAAAATTATTTCAAAGTAAATCCGACACCAAATGTTTTTCAGTGTATAGGTTATGATGAAACGCAAGACAGTGTAAGGAAATACAATAACCGCTAATCCTTTTGCTACAGAGAAAAATTCAGTTTTCTGTTATACAAAGCATTCATTTTCATTTACTGTTCACCAGGAGCGTGTACTTCAACAGACTGATGGCTATCAGAAAGTGAAGGTAAGAGTTGTATTACAGGCAGAAACGGAAGATAATGAATCTCAGATGCATTCGTATTACCCAGCTTCTTAGCAACCGCTCGGTCTTTCTTTGAATCCACCAGACCGAATCCAATGTCCTCATCTTCAAAATCATCAAGCACCTGGGCCGCAAGCTGCAGGAATAAGAAAGAGTTTATTGTACTGTATGCAAGTCTGAATCAGAGTCAGTCTGATCTAAACAAACAGCGCATCAATGCAGAGCGTTCAGTCCTTTTATAGTCGTGTTGGGCCATTCAGTAAAACAGCCATAATGCAGCCATAAAACACATGGACCCAATGAGGCAAAGACACCTCTCTCTCATACTATATACTCAAAGCCAAACGAGACACAAGGCCGTCAAAGCAAATGCCAGAAGTGCTGCCTCTGCACTTTCTAAATCTGTGTGAAATAGGAGCTGAAGATGGACAAGGGATCTGACCAATGCAGGGTTTGATCGGGCATGTCAAAGACTGGACATACGGACACAGGTGCAAATGTATGGTTACTGTATGTATGCTGTCGCTTGGGTCAACCGCATACATAAACATACAGACACGCCAAGGCACACGGACATATGCATGTGACCAATCTACACATGCCTTAATATAGTTGCACTCATTCATTTTCCTCGTATACACACATGCTTGAAATGAGAGCATATGTAAACATAACAGCAACATTCAACACATTTAAATACATGAAGAAGAATATCATCCATACGGTAGTCATTTACCTTCAAGTGTCAAATGCACTGAAACGTCCTTTAGATTCCACCTTACCAAAGCGCCAAATCATTCGACCCTTTATAGGCCTTCTTTCTGACTTCGCAAAACCATTGCAAACCATTACATATCGCAACTGAATTTCTCATACCCTCACATTTGTACATAAATGAAGAGTTCACAAAATCAAAATCGATTTACTCACCATCATGACATGTATAACCCATATTACATTTGAGTGAAATAAAAGAATAACAGAGTGAAAACGAAGTGCGCTTAATTGTATTTTATGTGCACATCAAATTTTTAAATATATTTTTTAAAAACTGTACTTGCAGATAATATAATATTAAATAATTAAAAGGCCACTTAAGTGACTTAGAGACACTTTCACGAGTGAACACTTAACACACTTAAGTGCACTTTGTAATAGTCAAATGAAAAGTTTTACTTTAAAGTACATTTTAAATCATTGTTTCACATCTTTTGCCATGTTTACACTTATTTTGATGTGTTGACTATCATACTAAAGCACATGTAAAGTACTTGACTATCATTTTAACTCGTGTGTTCTATTCAATATTACATTAATATGTACAGTTAATATATTTTAAATGCGCTAAATTGCAATTTCAATACAAATGTATTTAAATACATGATATACACGTCATTAAAGTATATTCAACTGAAAGTACATTAAAGTCAGTACATTCAGAAATTGCACTGTCTTTAACCATATTTCAAAGATGATATATGTAATTATGAAATGACATAAAAAAATCCACTTAAGTGGGTCAAAAACATTCTAAAGTTCACGTAATTGCATTTATTATAAATTGAAATAATATTCATGCATTTTCATTTAATTGCAGTAAACATGCAGTTAAGAGTGTGAAAACATTACATCCAGTTCACATTATATAGTATAAACTATAATATTAACATAATAAGTACTCATTTTAAAATTCAGGAGCCCTGGACTTCTTTTTGACAAAAGGGACCCATGCTCTCAAAATTCAGAGCAATAGTCTATATGATTGATGTGGTGTGACTGAAGTCTTCTGTAGTCATACAATAACAAGTTGTTATTCTCTGAAATTCTCAAATCATTCACATATTTAAACTTGATGCATGAAAATAATGTTGTCAATGTTGACAGATGCCACTGGTTTCGACTAACATGAGGGTGAGTAAATGATGGCGGCATTTTCATGTTCGGGTGAAACAGTTCTTGAACATCCCTGGCTGTAACAAATCAGCACACAAGCGTCAAAAGTCATGTCACTCAAAACACAACACTTCAGCTTCATTCCTCCATTTCTCTTTGTTACAAAGTTGGGTTTCAAAGTTGGGTGTTGGGCATCAAACGTCAGAGTTTATCCGCATCTATCTGAGCGTTTAACACATCCTGCTCATAATGTAGATGCCAGGACAAACTCTGCTCTTATCGAGGGTGAGCGTCGCATTCAAGAACAGGCCAATAAGCGGACATATACGTGTTAATGGCAGCGGCTGGTCACTCATTGTCTCGGCCTCACAGGAAGTGCTATCCTGTAGAAACTCACTGCGACCGCTCTCACCGGCCACATCCAACACGTCTGAAGGAGCATCATTCATTCTCTCCATGGGTCTTACAAACCGCTCATAAGTTATAAAAGGGCTTTAGAGTGGACAGTGAGCAGCCCTAGTGAGGGGGGAAGGATGCTGTTCAGATATTTTGGATGAAGCTTTAGTGATAAGCCAGACTTGAGAAACACAGAGGAAGAAAGAGAGAACAGAACAAAACACAAGTCATTCGAGGGCCTGAACATACCTGGTACGTCAGGGCGGCGGGGCTTGTTAACAACTGCAGAGAAAGGTCAGGTGACTTTAGAGTGTTAAAAACTATGACATTTTTAAGCAGAAAGAATGAAATAGTATTTTCTTCCAAAATGTATCCATTCATCTTTAATTGCAACTTCCAAAAGTAATTTATTTACAGTGTAATTTCATCAACTTTTTTCACGTTTCACACAAAGTATGATTACAATGGCAGATTATCAATTAATAAAGGTTTATTTTTGTGCAGATCCTTGCACAATACTATGCTATGAGCTCAAAACACTTTTACCATAGTGCATGATTTGTAAACTAATACATTTAGATGTTTGCACCACATAAGCAGCTCTATATGTTTGTCTTTTCCAACATAGCAAACTTGCTCAGGAGTGCACCCGGTATAGCATTGCACCTGTGATGTGAAGTGCTTGAAAATGAGTCCCGTCAGACATGATACTTGTAAAAGCAAGATAAAATGACATGGTGCTTCAGCATTTATCTCATGTGATTTATCTCGTGTTTGCTATCATTCGGGTTTTGGATTGGGTTTAGTGTGGGTGGGACATTATTTTTAAACGTTTAAAGTTTCATTTCCAAACTGCCATGATACATGCAACAACTAGTGCAATAAAACGTCACCAGTTTCACATTCATCTGTGTTAGATAAAAATGGGAAAAATACCAAACTGTTCACTATTCACAATATAACCCCCCACCACTCCCAATCCTTCAAAGGTATCTAAAGGCAATTACATAATAAAACCATTAAACATTTTTGTTAGATCCTGATTTTTTAAATTTTTTTTGTAAAATAAACATTGCTCTGTATTCGTAGCACCAGACTGTTAAGTTGAAGTATGTTTATCTGTGAGAAGGTGACAGCTGAAATGACTCAGCTATGATTCATATTTGACAGCATGTGTTCAGACAGAGACAGAAGCTTAGAAACCGAGAAAACATTCATTTTTTAAACACCATAATCATTTTTGACACAATCATGGATGTTTTGTGTGAAAGGCCTGAAAGGTCGAATTCAAATGACTGTGCTTTAGATGGTAAAGAGAAACTGAATTGCCAAAAGGACTAATTTTCCCATCAAAATGTTTTATTCCTTTTATTCCGTGATGTTTAACATGACCGGAGAGGTCTGACCTTCACTTTAGAAGTTAATGGGTTCAGGAAATAAAAAATTTAAAAAAATAAAAAAATAATAAATAAATAAAAAACAATGAGCTAAATGTTTCTTTAAAGATCTAAATCTGTACCAGGAATTGAGGTAAAGGTCAATTCCATCTTTGACCTGAGGTGATCAAAGGTGATTTCATAAAAACTACTTTAAATAGTAACTTTTTTTTTTTTCCAAATTCTTCTTTTATCATACAGTTTTGGAAAGTCATAAAGATTAGTACATGACAAAATGGAGAAGTGCTACTCATCTAGTTATGTTCCCCTTCAGGAACTCACGCTGCGTCAGAGAACACTTTGGGAACGCTTATGCGTAATCCAGAATCACATGATGTCACCGGCGGGGATGTAGCAACCAGGAAGCATAAAAGCACGTGCGGAGTGTTTTTTGGTGGAGACAGCGGCAGCTTCTGTTGCTCAGTATAAGCGCTCTATGTTTGTATTGTCTTATTTACTGTCTTTGAATCAAAGCATTATGGCAAGCAAGGGACAAACAGGCTTTCAGACTGTGTGTTCCTGCCTGCTCGCGCTTCATTACGGGTGTGGATACACACAGCTTGTGTGTCGCTTGTTTGGGAGCGGTCCATCCAGTTTGAGGAGCTGTTGGAGGTAGTGACTCGAGCAGTGGCCAAGCTACTCCCCCAGAAAAACAAAAAGAGCCGGAGTCGGGGCGGCGCTCTAGATCGAAGTCTTCAAGGGAGATGACGGGTCCTGAGGACAAGTGCGTCAGGACTTCTGAGGGCAGGCCTCTCTGTGGAAGAGTGGTGTACACCACATCATACGGTGCCCATCTCTCCTCAGTGCCCTCAGGAGATCAGTCTGTGCCCCGGTGCTTCAGGGCACAGCTGTCTCCAGCGAGCACATCTCTCAGCATCCGCCCGTAAACGTAGCGGTTCTGGGAGGCTCACTACCTCCAAGGAGCAGCTAGATCGGCTGTTCGCTGCTGGTCCTCCGCTTCATGGCATCAAGCTAGCTGCTCTAAGTACACCAGAGGTCACAGGATTTGGCAGTGGTTTTAGAGGCCCTTTCCAAACCTCCCTTTGAACCCCTGGAGGAGGTTTCATTGATATTTCTTACAGTCAAGACTGTATTTCTGCTAGCCATCTCTTCCCTGAAGAGAGTCTGTGATCTTCAGGCTCTTTCTGTTGCCCCCTCTTGTCTTGAGTTTGCCCCTAGCATGGCCAGAGCCTATCTTTACCCCAGACCAGGGTATGTCCCCAAGGTGCTCTCTGTCATTCCATGGCCAGTCGTGCTGCAGGCCTTCTACCCTCCTCCCTTTCAGGACCCTGACCAGGACAAGCTTAACCGTGTGTGTCCAGTGCGAGCTGTCCTGTGGAGAAAGTCGGACCAGTTGCTCGTCTGCTACAGTCCGTATAAGAAGAGTCTTCCTGCAAACAAGCAGAACCTAAGCAGGTGAATAGTGGATGCGAGTCCTCTGATCTCCCCTCGCCATTGGGACTCAGGGCTCATTCCACACAAAGTATGACGGCCTCTGGTGTTTCCCTACACAACATTTGTAATGCACCCCATTTACCTTTGTTAGGTTCTACAACCTTGACCTTGACGCCACTCCCGGCTCCTCAGTTCTCTCGGCCTAGCTGTGCCCATCCACACTAGGCAAAGATTTGTAAGTCTGGCGGCGTGGACATACTCGTTCCCAAAGCGTTCTCCAATGCAGTGTAAGTTCCTGATGGGGAACGTCTCTAGGTTACGCATGTAACCCTAGTTCCCTGAGGGAACGAAACGCTGCATAACCTATGCTATGAGGCATTTTTAGTTCACCAGTTCAATGTTAAATGTGTTCTTCTATTGCCCAGTCTCTTGCTCTCTCTGTGTGTAAGGCCTATAAACATTCAGTGTTTTTCAAACATTTTCAAAACTTCCAAACAAGACTTTGTCAATCCAACATTCAAAATTGATCTTAGCTATCATTACTTTTGTAGTTAAAGTTATGCAAATTTCTTTGAATTCCAATTAAATCCTTTCATTCACATTTGAATTTCAGTTTTGCATCCTCGATTTAAATTCAGTTCAATTTCAAGAACTGCATTGGAATTAAAAAACCAATCAATTACATAGAAAACTGATATATTCAGTCCTGATTCACTTAGCATTTATACTGTCATTCAAAGCATAGGGATTGGACAGCTGTTATGGCAGTTACTCAAATTAACTGCACTAGAGCAATCGCACCAGAGTTCATTTTAATCGAACCAAACATGCCATTAATTGGCTGTTGAGAGCTAAAGTGAGCAGCCACTGTCTGTCATTTCTTCTGTTGCGATACATTTGCAGTGCATCTTTCTCCCTGAGGAGGAGTCTGAAGACCCTGTGCATGCTGTCTTGGGGTTTTATGAGAGTCGTGGATTGGGCTGGTGGTTCAGTGAGTGATTGAGTTCGCTCTGATGACTCATGAGCGCATCACCTCACCTCTGAATCATCACCGCTGAGCTCACTAAACAGCAGCGTCTGTTTCTGTCCCCTCCACACATAAAATCATCCTGAGAGAGGACGACGGGTTCAGCGCTTCCAAAGCGGCACAACCCGACTGCAGCTGGTTAACAGCGATAAAAAAGAGTGATGATATACGCCAAAAGGCCAACAAAAAAGAATGATGCTTTTAATCTGATGGACCCACAATTTAGTGTCAACATTTCAGTGAACATTTGCCGTTTGGGAAATATGAAACGGCTATGACTACAGAGCAAGACATATTAAAATCATAACTTCAATCCTGAAGGCACCAAGACAATATCTAAAGAAACTCAGCGCTCAATCATTTTCACGTTCAGTTTATTCTCCTCTGCCAGTCAGCAATGCCCTTGTTATACATGATTATCACATTATCGTATGGTTCTATTCATGCATTTCCTGCCAGTGATTCATTGTTTTGAAATTCAAAATTGGTTCAGGTGTGAAGAAGGCAAGGAAAGGCAATGTTATTTAGCACATTTCATACACAGTGGGAATTTAATAAGCTTAAATAAATGAATGCATAAAACATTTAATAGTTAATATTAACAAATACAAACACAATACAAGTAAGAAGTAAAAACTGAAAAAAAAGACATTTTATTATGAAAATAAGACTAAAATTAAAATTAAATGTTTAAATTAAAATAAGATTCAGTATGAAGGACATAAAAGGAACATAAAAAAAGAAGATCAGAGCAGTGTGATTTGTTAGAAAAAGGTAATTTTGACTATTTGTCTTACAATTCTGACATTTTTCCACATGATTGTGAATTTATATTTCACAATTTGGACTTTGTTTTCTAAAAATTGTGAATTTAATTGAGAAATCTTTTCTCATAGTTTATATATTGCAATCGATAACTCACAATTGCGAGACAAAAGTCAAAAGTGCAAAATACAAACTCACAGTTGCGAGAAAAAAAGATATTGAACGTTTAGTTTGAGACACTTTGTAAATGAGATTCTCTGAGCATGTGACACGTTTGTTTCAGACAGTTTTTATTTTATTAAACTACATTTGTTTTCTCTTAGCTGCTTTTGTTACATATTGATGTCGTCAGTCAGATGGCATGTCAGTTCCTCACCAGAATGATCTGCATTGTACTTTAATGCTATGATAGCAGCTGCGGATGGCAGTGGATCTCAGATTTTCTGTGCGGCCCTGAGTTCCTTTCTGCACCAAAGCAGGATTGGAGTCTATGCTTGAGAGATGCAAGTGCTCTTAAGAGTGTGATTCAGCTGGAATATGAACTCATAAAGAACACAGAGTGCTCAGACTTCTCATTTCACTGAGCGAGGCTCGCTCTCCACTGCAATGATGGGAAACACACAGAGAAAGATAATGAAGCATCTGAAGCGCCGCTTCAT